TTGGGCTTGAGTGACAACGAGGTTGCCAAGGCAGTGTCCAGACATTCTCAGCTTCTTGGCTACAGCATCGGAGAGAATCTGCAGCCAACTATGGATTGGTTGAAGGGCTTGGGCTTGAGTGACAGCGAGGTTGCCAAGGCCGTTTCGAAATATCCACGGTTGCTTGGTTGCGGCAGCGCTTCTAACAGCTTGGATCCAATGGTGAGCTGGCTTGTCTGCATCGGTGTGAACAGATTGGATATCAAGCATGTAATTCTTCGCTTTCCAATCATCATGTCGCTGAGTCTGTCCAGGAATTTGAGACCCAAGATGCAGCTCCTGCGGCAATATTTCTCGCTTGAGGATGCTCTTTCACTAGTTGTGGCAGATCCCCGCATCTTCAGCTACAGTGCCTCGCGCTTGCACGCACGCCTGGCGCTGCTGGCAAGCCGGGAGCAGCTAGCAAAGTTCTCCGGAGCACTGCGCATGACGGTGTCAAGCTTCGAATCCAGTTATGGGGTGCAAGCTTGCAAATGCCTGCGCTGGCTAAGGCTCCATTCCTCAAAGCCCCGTTCGCAGAACCCACCCCCCTTCCCAAGCTGAAGATCTACTTAATCATCACGCTGCTGCAGGTTCAAGATCATCGCACAGTGCCTGCTGGCCTGGGGTTGGGATGAGCAGCTTGGCATGGCATATGAAAGCTGTTCAGCAAACGCTTCCTCTGCTGCACTGCCTCACCACCGGATCCCTTTCATGATGTCCAAAAACGGTCGCCTGCTGCACAGGGCCCTCAAGCCAAGGCCAGTGGACCCCCAAACACCAGTTCCAAAGTACTGTGGCATGATGTGAACCCGAGGTTTGAGACCTTCGAAGTCTTGATGAGTGTGCACAGCGTGCAGGACTATGGTCTGCGGGTTGACTTAAGGTTTTTCCGGTGTGCCAGGTTTTTCGTCCTCAAGGCTTCCGAGCGTGTCTGGCTCCCCGCTCCCACGAAGTCGAGATTCGCACACTAGGACCACTAGGAATCTTAATTTGAATGTTATGTTCCGCATCCGAGGGATATCTCTACACTCTATACCCTAAAGCCGAAATGTCAAGCGCCCAAGCCCCGAACCCTGTCGCTCAAATTCTGCTGATCGTTTGCAGGACATCCAGAACGACGGTCTGCTGCTCGACCTCGCAAGCAACTAAAGGGCTGGATCGTGGGCTTAAGCATTGAAGGTCGGGGCCTGGAAAACCCCAAACGCCAGACCAAGCTCCCAAAACTAAACCCCGGCCCAGAGCCAAAACAGCAGGCCATATTTCCCCAGTTGCCCCTGAAAAGCACGAGCTTTCAAGGTTCGGCAAGAAGGAGTTCAAGGTGAAGGTGCGGAGACGGGGAGGAAGGGAGGGCCCAGAAGCTACCTTTAACAAGGAGTTGGTGTTCCTCAAGCTGCAGAGTAATCCTTGTGAATCAAAGGGCTTTCGGGTTTAAGGGAGTGCGCCTCAAAATATGGAAGGGTTCGCAACGTGGCTCAAAGCATCTTGATATTGTGTCAAGAGGAGTATAGGACTCTCTGGGTATGCTTCAATTGAGATGCTGCCAGCAATTGCCCCTTGTCGGAATAGGCTCATCCTCAGGATGATTCGCTAACCCTACGCCTTGAGCCCGCAAGCTACCGCACCTAGAGCTCCAGAACGGCTTCATAGCCCGGCCACTCATCGCCAATCCCCCAGCCATCCAAGGTTTAGGCTGTGAGCCCCGCTCCAAGAGCTACCCACATTCGGCTCCCTGTTGAGGATTTGGACTTCAGGATCTTGGGCTTGGGGCTCATCACTTCCCAAACATTGAACTCTCAGCCCGAAATCAGGCCCCAAACCCAAAACCGTAATGCCTAAACCCGTGCATGGGCAGGCAAGCTTCAACTGGAGCAACACGGAGACCTCGGGGACCCAGGACAGCCTCGATGCAGCACACAAATTTCAGCAGCTTCTCATGGTCGAAGGCGTTCTGAGAAAGTTAGGCAGACTTCGCTTGCCACGTGCAGTATAGTGATGAAGTCATGCATGCGGAATCGCCTCAGAAAGCCGGCTGCGGTAATTTGCGAGTCGGACAGCATGCTCCCGACCAGGACATGCGCTGGGAGCAGACGAAAAAGCTGGTGACTCTTCTGCAGACACGGCGATTCCAGGCCAAGCCTAATCGACTATCCCAAACTCTCAGCCCTAAATTAGAATAGTAATTAAACAACGCTAGACCCTAATGCATAAAGCTCCAGAGCCTGATGAACCTCGAGCTCCACTAGCACCCCGAAAGTCGCAGCCCGAAGCACAAACTCCAAAGCTCTCTACAAGGCCTAGACCTTTTGCAAGGTTGAAAAGTTGCCTGAGAAGTCCCAAAACCCTCAACCCTAAACCCTAAACCCTAGCCCCTAAAGCTCTCGGCCCTAACACCCTGGAGCTCTGAGCCCACCCTCAGGTCTCTAAGCCCAAAGCCCTGCAAAATCCAACGAGACGCGTGCTTTGTTCGAGGAGATACCCCAAGGCGCCGCCGAAGGGATTATCAGCCTCTGGTCACTGGGGACCATCAAGGACGGACGTTCGAGTTTCAGAATCTTCTGCTTTGGTTTGTAGGGTCTAATATTGGGCGCCGTTGGAATAAAGCACTGCAGCTGCTTGAATAAAATACTGGTTTATGTAAGGTTTGAGATGGAGGTGTTGGGGCTTGTATGGTTTAGGGTTGAGTTTGTAGCGTCGAGGTTTTAAAGGGAAGGTCGCGGGATGTAAGAGTCAGGGCTTAGGATTGTGTTCGGGGTTGAGTTTTTTGGCTTCGCAACGTCTCCCTGTCTCCCTAAACCCTAAACCCTAAACCTTGGTTTAAGGCTAGTGTATGAGTTTAGAGACGAGGTTTATTGTTTTCACTGGTTTAGACGGGGCCAAAGCAAGAAATTCAGCCCTGAACCCAAGAAGCCCCCATTCCGCCTTCAGATGCCAGGAGTGTTCCACACGTCGAATGAAGAAATCTTACATATTCTGCAGTGGCATGGGGCTTTCTGAAGAACCCAGCCCAGCCGACTTTCTCAAGCCCTCAAGCTTGATTCCCTTTCAGCCGAAGTCCCTCAGCACCCCTCCGGATGTTCATAGGGTTGAGGGATTAGGGCTTAGGGTTTAGATAGCGCCAGGTCAACCAGGAGAAGCCATGTGATTGCAGACTGCAGGAATCCGCTTTATGCCGTGTTGAGGGCTCCCTCGTTTTGAGCCCCAACCTCCTTACACCCTGCAGAAGCTTTTCTGAACCTTCTAAGATCCCTGCAAAAAAAAACCTTGACTGTACATGCCCAATCCGACGAACCCTTCTCAACCGTTTGAAGACTCCATGAAGAATTTGATCCCCAAGCCTTAAACCCTTGTGGGCCCCATAACGAACTTCCTGGAAACCGAAACTCGTGAGGACTCGAAGGTGGCGTCCTACTCTTTGGACACGAAGAAGGCCTCGCGACGGGAAGTTTAGGGGTTGCGGCGTTGCGTCTCATATAGAGCTCTGTATAGTATAGTCAAGCCTCTGCATAAGGTTTAGGGGTTTATTGATAACCTAAACGCCCTGACCCGTAAACCCTAATCCCTACACATCCCTAAATCCTAACCATCACAAAGCCATTAACTATAAAGATTTCTAAATCCCAAACATCCCTATACCTTAAGCCTTAAACACCCCTAAGCCCTTAATTGACCCTAAACCCCACACCCCCAAACGCCCAAGCGGCCCAAGCGGAGGACATGCTGGACAAGGCCGAGTCCTTCTTCGGGAAGAAGCAGAAGCTCAAGCTTCAGTACAAGGGGAAGACGGCCGCCGGCCTGAGAGAAGGGTTTTTGAGGGTTTAGAGGGTTTTCGAGGGATTTAGACGGTTTTTGAGGGTTTTTGAGGGATTTAGAGGGTTTTTGAGGGTTTTGGGAGGGGTTTGTTTGGAGCGGTTTAGGGTTCTGAAGGTTTGGGGTTTGAGGGGTTTTGGGGGGCTTAAGGGTTTGGGGCGTAAGGGAGTTAAGGGAGCAGAGGTTTATAGCAAGGATCAGTTAGGGCTTCCTGAAGTTGGGGGAGTAGGAGCACAACTCACCAACTCAGGGACTCCTGCATACCTCAAAGAAGGAATATAGTCCTTAAGCTACAGTGGGCTTCCTTTGTAAGGTTCCTTCATGAAGGGATATAGTTGGAGTCTCTTCGTAACGCAGACTCGCAGTATCAGCCGCCGGGCAAAAGCGAAATCGAAGCCTTCAGGTCACCCAAAGACCTCTAGCCGATTCCCTTCCCGGCTTGCTCTAGGGGTTTAGGGTTTAGGGGCGGTCTGAAGAATTTAGCAAAAAGTTCCCTTAGTTTGGTGTTTCTATATGTACATTGGGCGTAGCCCAGCTATCAAGGACCCCCCCATAGTTACGCTCAAATACCCCTGCAAAACATCATCCAGGTTGGAACTTTGCTGATCACCTTCAGGCCAGCTTGCATCGGGTTGAGGGTCTCGGTTTTGCTAAGTCTTCGACATGAAACTCAGAAGGCTGTGGGTCATTGGCATTCTGAAGCGTGCTGAGGAGGGAGTCTGCCTCTTTGCACATGCTGCAGCTAGGTACTGGCTGCGCAGGGACGTGGTAGTTCGGTTCTTGGATGACTTCCGGGGCGCTCTCTCTCGCTCTCTGTCATGCTCCCCGCAGGCAGGTTTCTGAAGGACAAGATCTGAAATGATTTGAAGTTCGACTAGGCTCTCCACAAGGCTTGTGGTGTCTTCATCGTCCAACAACAATGTTCGGGCTCTCTCTGGGGTGAAGCCGTGAGGAAATGAAGGGGGCGCATGGCCCTGCTGCACTGGACTTTGAGTTGTGGTGCCTCGCGCCTGCTCGCTGGCGCATCGTCATGCAGTTGATGATATATATATGTGTGTGTGTGTATATATATATATGTATCCTGCATTACCCATAATAAGGAACATACCATAGTTCCCATAGTCTAGAGTCCTTAAGGTAGTGCAGGATTCATATCATCAACAGTATGACACGTTGCAAATCGCTTAGCCTCGAGCAGCCCCAAACGCTAAACCCTAAACCCTAAACGCTAAACCCTAAACGCTAAACCCTAGACCCTAAACCCTAGACCCTAGGGTACGGCGTACGAAGAGCGATCACGGCCGGAGCAACGGTGCTTCCGCGGTTTTTGCTACGTTAACCCCACGATGTGGCGAGCTAACCCTGAACCCTAAGCCCTAAACCCTAAACCCTAAAACCCTAAACCCTAACCCTAAACCCTAAAGCCCGAAACCCCAAACCCCAAACTTCTAAACCCTATCACGTCGTGCACCAAGTTGAGGCGCCGGGCTGGCCTAGCCGCCAGCCCGGTTCCCAGTCCTGAGTTGGAGAGCAGCACCTGAGTCCCAGCCATCGATCACATGTACTCCCTTCGACCCGGGAAGTCTGAACCTGGGTTTAGGGTATAGGTTTTAGGGTTTAGGGTTTAGGCTGGGTTCCTACTTAACTTAAGAACTTAAGTTGCTATGTTAGAGAGATATGAGGTAGGTGGCACGGTTTCCTTGCGATGGTAGAAGCTGACAGAAGTAGGAACTTAGGAACCTCTTCCTCAGCAGGAAGCGGGGGAAAGGCGAGGGCGACATTGGGGACTGCCCAATCGACGGCTCCCTCACCGCACTTCATGTCTCAGTTTTCAGTTTTGGTTTGTTGCTGTGGCGTTCTATCAGGGCACTGCATGGTGCGACAAGGTTGTACTAGGTTTCCCCAGTAGCATTGTTGTTACTTAATTTTTTCGGCGTTCCCGTCTACAGTTGAAGGTGTAGGGCTTGAGGCTTGGGGGGGGTATGGTTTAGGGTTTATGCTGTAGGCATTAGGCTTCAGGGTTTAGGGTTCAGGGTTGGTTCAGAAGCTGAAGATCAAACTCTGTCCCACTGCAGGTTTGTCTTTGCTTCAACCAGCCCGAAATCGCAAGCATCTCTGCCTTGCTTACGGGGAGTAGGGCTTTGAGGGTATAGTGGAGTTTTGTTTCTGTTGAATTCGTCGCTTAATCTCCACGCGCTGAGCTTGCAAGGCATTGACGAGGACTCGCCGTTGCTGATTGACATCAACAATGCCATCCAGGCCAGGATAGGGGCCCCAGAGTGCCTGCTTGCACGAGCAAAGGGGTCCCGGCAGGTAGGTTCTGTGAGAAGTGGTGTGAGTGCAAACAGGGTTCCTCTTTGAACATAAACCCTAAACCGTACATGTTTTGGTTTTCTTTGCGGGTGACAGCTCCTTATGTATGGGCCCTCTCTGCCGCGACGTTTGCTTCTCTCGGGTATCTGGGGCTGCCGTTGCAAAGCGCAGCAAGCATGGGCCCAACAATGAGCAGACGACAATGAACAAGCTAGCTCGGGTCCTGAAACATAGTATATTCCACCAATTCTACACCACTCTACCTACTTAGTCCTCCGGTCTTTTACCCAGACCTTACGCTTGCTTCCAGGAGATGGTCAAGAAGAAGGAGCTCCAGCCTTTGCAGAAAGGCGAGAAGTCCCCTGGCGGGGGGGAACTCACAGTGGCTTTTTGTAAACCCCAAGCCCCTATAGCCCTAAACCTAATCCCTGCAAGCCCCAAGCCCTAAACCCTGAAAGCACAGAGCCCCCAAGCCTTATAAAACCCTACATCCTGAACCCCTACGCCCTAAAGCCTAAGCGCCCTTGGGTCCACCAGGCCTGGCCCTAAGCCCACCACCTCCTTAAGCGCTCCGTTACCGGAGCCCCAAACAATCCCTGCATTCCGTGGCTAAGGCTTACTTCCTGAAAGAGGTAGATCTAGGGTCCGGGTAAACCAGACCTGGACCCCAACAGTATATAGAGAAATCCTTATTTTTGGATAGCCAGTTTAGGTCAGCACTAAGAGCCCAAGACCCGAGAGTCATCTTGAAGTCCCAAGCCCGCCCAACAGCGGTCTAGGATACGGAAATGGCTAGTACGAGTCCTTATAACAGTTTCGGGTTTCGGGTTTAGGGATAGTTATACTATCTTATACCACAGTTTACCTCCCCAAGCCCAGTTCGAATTATGGAGACCCCTCTATTGAGCCCAGGTTGGATGGTGAGCGCAAGATTGCCGTGCTGGCGAAAACCCTGCAGGCTCCAAGGGAGGGCTTGGAGCCTTTTCGGGTTTAGGGTTTAGGGTTTGGGGTTTAGGTTTTTTTTTGAGCTTCGTGGTTTTTTGGGGGGCTGGGAGCATGGAATCTGGGTTTCAGGGATCGGAGCTTAAGATTTGGTGTTTACGTTTAGTTTGGGGGTCTGAGGAGTTTATCCATGCTTTGGCGCTTGGGGTCGCGGCTCCGGGATGTCACAAGAACAGCGAAAGTTCGGCAATGCCGTGTGGGAGTGCGAAAGACCCGAAAAGCTTTGTCAGCGCCCTTGACTTCCGAGAGAGGCGAGACCCCTGAACCCTAAACCCTAAACCCTAACCCTAAACCCCTAAACCCCTAACCTAACCTAAACCCTAAACCCTAAACCCCTAAACCCCTACGCCCTAAACCCCGGTTACTAAACCCCGGATTCCATGCTTTGTGGAAGAGTGCGCGATTGTCGAGTACTGGGGTTCCGCATTGAGGCCCCCTGATTCATGTCGTGCCGTTCGGCGAAAGGTTTTCTGATAATGAGAGGGACCTTGCTGAAGGATCCTTTCCTGTTATTCCGAAGCTAGATCATGGCTCTTTCGGAGATTTCAGGGAGTTTCGTGTTTTGTTCGGGGCTCGGACGAGCTACAAAGGGTGGCGAGCCTGGGTTGGAGGTTGTGGGTTTTGGATTCTCATAAACTGTCGAAACCCTAAACCCCTGAACCTTGAACCCTCAGCCCCTAGACCCTAAAGCCTAAACCCTCAACCCTAAACCTGAAGAAAACCCTAAACCCTCAACCCTCAACCCTAAACCTGAACAAAAACCCCTAAAACCCTAAAATCCCCCAACCCAGAGTCCTTGAGCCCCAAAGCCGGATATCCGCCACGCCCCAGCTCCGGGAAAGCCAGGGCGATCTCCGGGAGATCGACTTAGAGGGCAAGGAGAAGGGCAAGGCTCCCCTCCTGGGGGTTTTGGGTTTAGGGTTTGGGAGGGAAGGATTAGGGTTTAGGGTTCAGGGTTTAGGGTTTGGGTTTGGGGTTTAGGGTTTAGGGTTTTGGGTTAAGGGTTTTAAGTTTAGGGTTTTGTTTAGGGTTTTGGGGTTTAGGGTTTAGGGTTTTAAGTTTAGGGTTTAGGGTTTTGGGGTTTAGGGTTTAGGGTGTGGGTTCAGGGTTCAGGGTTTGGGGTTCAGGGCTTAGGGTTTGGGAGGGAAGGATTAGGGTTTAGGGTTTTGGGTTTTGGGGTTTAGGGTCTAGGGTTTTGGGTTCAGGGTTTAGGGTTAGGGTGCAGAGTTTAGGCTTTGGGGTTCAGGG